TTTCCATTACGAAGTGGTCGAATACTTCAGCTGAACCTGAGTACAGACAGAAAATAACTCAAATATGTTTTAAAAATACAATTTTCTTGTATGTAATAACTTTAACAAAACTATTTACGAGCACTTCAACAACAATTAGAGGGGGACACACCTCGTTTGGCGTTGAAGCATGAAGAAGCGTTCGAGTGTTCACTTGAATATTGCGTGGAGTAACAAAATTTCGAAATATAAGTATTAGAAGTGCTTCAAAGGTACACACTCCATATGTATATATTGATGACACATATTTAAACACATGAGTACATAGACACATATTTGCCCAGGGTATTCGTATTGTATATATTTATGTTAAATTATACATATATGTATGAAGAATAAAAAAAAATTCTTGTAAATTGAAATGAAATTTGGCGTACATAGCGAGGGGTGAAAAATTCCTTGTTATACAGTTTCCTTTGGGAAAGTGTTGAAAAATGTTTGCCTTGAAATATATATACATATATGCGAGTATATTTGTGTACAGAAGTAGTTTTTTACTATTTTTTCAAATTTTCTTTTTTTTTTCTTGAGCTGCACTTTTGCTATTCCACACTAACTTATTCTTTCACACGCAATTTATTTGTATACATGTAAATATATGTATATATATGTATCAGATATAAATGCATTCCCTGCATGTTTGCCACACATAAAGTGCATCCAGTGTGGGTAGTGGTGACTCTTCTGTCCTCCTATTGTTTGTGATTTATTGCAACTTATTTGGTTTTGAGCTTAATAGAAATGTTTGAGTAGTTATACCGTTATTCCTTATTAAGAGTATATGTTTTCGGGTGTGTCATTAGGGTTATTTAACAGTTATTTTTTCGCAACTAATGAACATTTAATGTGTGGTTGCTCTAAATGAGGGAGGGAGAGTGTCAGGGCACATTTCATAAAATACTCGTATAAGTATGTACACGGCTGATTGGGGTTCGATTGGAATTTAATTGATTGCGTATGTAATTGGATTACATGTATTTTGATAAATATTAATTTGCAACAAATTTTTGGAAATTGTTGTCATTTTCTGTTAATTAAGGCAAGTTCTCAAGAATTGCCATGAAAACAAATAAATAGAATAGAAGTTAATATAAAAACAAAAAACTTTTTTTGCTTGATTTTTTTAATTTGCTTTTATTTAGTCTTATTTTCATTATAATTTTGTTTTATTTCCCTTTATTCAATTTTATTATTTTTTTTTAATTTATAATATATTTATTTTACATTTATTGCTATAACCAAACTTAATATAATATTTTATTATATTGTTTTTAATCTTATTTTAATCAATTTAGTTTTTTTTATTTTTTAGTTTATTGGTGTAATTTTTCACTGTAATTTTTTTACTATACTGTATTAATTATTTTGTATTTTATTTATTATTTTACATTTTATATAATTTTTTTACAAATAAATGTATATATTAAGTCTACCAAAAAGTATTTATTTACCACAGTTAGGGTTGTCCGATTTATGCCAAATACTTACCGTTTTGCTCGATAACTTTTCGCCGTTGTGAAGGCATGGATATCATGATCCAAGTAAAAGATGTACTTTTTTCGGAAGTTTTTTTTTTTTTTGACAGATCACGCGGGATTTGTATCAAGTTGCCTTATTACTTTTCTTTAACAAAGAATCCACGCTTCGCTCTATAGGCTCTTCAAAAATGATGCCGTGAGAACGTAACCCTCAATGGCGACCATTATAGTGCCATGATAGTCGATCAATTGATGCCTGAAATTGAAGCTCGTGATCTCGGCAACATTTGGTTTCAACAGGACGGCGCCACTTCAGTCACAATCAATGGACTTTTAGCTGTTTTTTGCACTGCCGCGACCAGGCTAAGTGAAAATACGTATCTTCTCAATGACTATCAAAATCGAATAGGACATTTCATTATTTATGGTATCATTAATAATTAAAATGTTAAGAGTTTTTGACGTGAAAAATAAAAACAATAATTATAGAATACGGTCGCCGGTTAGTGTGGGATCGCTATAGATTTATTGAGACGGTGAGCAGTTATTTCACGTTTTGCGCCGGTCGATTGGCCAATAAGATCGTGTGAGATCACACCGTTGAACTTTTTCCTGTGGGGATATGTAAACTCTTAAGTCTATGCGGAGAATTTCGCTTCAATTCAGACCTTGAAACAAAGCAACACGCTTGCCATTCACAAGTTACCAGCCGAAATGCTCCAACAAGTCGTCGAAAATTCGACTCAACAGATGGACCAACTGAGATGTGGCCGCGATCAACATGTGAAAAAGATAATTTTTAAAATATAAATGTCAAAGAATGTCCTTTCGAATGATAATAAACATGCCGCCTTAAATTGAAGTTTCTGTATTTTTTCTTCAAGAAGGTAGGGAACCTTGAAATGGGTCACCCGAAAAGCAGCCAAAATATTCGCCATAAACATAAACAGATAATAATTTTCGAGATATTGACTACAAGTGGATCGATAAAAAGGTCCCAAACAAGTTTGCGTAGCTTATGCCGAGTTGTCCAGTCACTATCGTTGTCCGTAGTCTGGTGTTGTCCTAATGAAAAACAATTTTCCTTCTGTTGGGTGAGTTCTTCCCTCATAAAAATACTGACAATACAGGATCTAACTTAGAGTTTAGCCATAGAAGAGCTATGATTCCTTGCCAATCTTTCCCGCCAAACACAAAACAAAACCTCCTCCTAGCTTGGAGACCGTTTATAGCGGGCTCACTGCCCTTCGGCCTATGTAGTCCACTTTTCATCACCATTCACCATTCGCTTCAGAAATTAATTGTTTTACGATTCAGCAGCGACACACGGATGGATTTTGATCCAGGTGGCACCCATATAAGTAACTTCTTGGTATATTCAGCCATTTAGAAGTGCCTCCAAACAAATTTTTTTTATGAAATTTTTAGGTCATTGGAATACGCCTTGCATGATGGTAAGACCCCACGATTTTTTCCTTTTTATCGACATTTTCGACAAAATCAACAGAACGATGTCGACAAAACTCTATTATTATAAGCTGCAAGACTTGCGTCGGGATTTATTTACCACAGTTGCCTGAATATGCGAAATTTTCGCTGTGTCAATCCCTGTTCTTTCACATGCGCTCAAACAGTACTGAGGTATGTGATGTCGTATATATTATTCTAAGCCGCCTCCAAGCTATTAATGGATTTTTATTAGGAGCTTTTAATCCATTCAAAAGCAAACTCTGAGTAATTACCTGTTCCCTGTTCACCCCAATTAGAAGAATCAATTAAGAATTTTTCAGAATAATAAATTTTTTACAATTTTTATTTTGTTTTTTTTTTATTTTTTTATTTGTTTTTATTTTATTTTAATTTATTTTATTATTTTCATATTTTATTTTATTTTATTTTATTTTATTTTATTTTATTTTATTTTATTTTATTTTATTTTATTTTATTTTATTTTATTTTGTTTTACTGTTTATTTATTCCATTTATTTATATTTCATATAATTTTTTTGTTACATTTATTTTTTTATTCTATTCAATAGCAAAATGTTTACTTTTAAATCTTAATAGTTTTTTTTTTTTATTTATTCAGTTATCTTTTAGAGCAACAGCGAGCATTATTACAAAATAATCAATAAAAATCACCAGATTTTGACTCAACTTATGTTTGTTTGTATACACATTATTTTTGTAGATCATATATTATATATGAATGTAAATATGTATATTTGTGGGTATGTTTGGCAATTGCAACACTGGCGGATTATTTTTCTTAATTTCCTCTTGTTAGCGAAACATGTGCACGAGACTTGCGAAGATGATCGATTTACTTGATTCCCATACAATGTTTTCTCAACAAGCAGACGCTTAGTCATACATAGATTCATACATACTCATACCTACGTCTATGTATTTCGGAACAGGGGTGGCTGAATAAATACGAAAACATTTTTAGTTTTTTAGTTCTAAACGCAATTTGGTCGTGGATAGAAGAAGATTTACTTCGCAAGAGGATATTTCGAGAACAAAACTCCTTGAGAGCTTTACGAAATGTTGAAAAAGCTGTTGTGGCTAAGTTGATCGCCGATCAGATTTCCTGGAAGAGTTCTAGTCTCTGGACTTTCTATGTCTGCAATAAATGAATTAGAATTTCTAGGTAAAGTTCTTGGAAGCCTTCCCAATAATCACTTCCCCTACCTTAAACTTCCGGCAAAAGCTCTAGAGCGATGTTCGCTTTTATCTCTACGACCCTGTAGTAGGCAATATTTGGTTTTTATACCATTCTAGGGTATCTCAGCTATGCATCAATTTGGATATACAATTATACCATACCCATTCATACACGTATATACGTACATACATACATGTGAGCCAATAGCTCGCGCGGATTGTTGTGCCTTTGTTGACTGTGCGCGATCGCCATAAACAAAAATTGTATTTGTATATATGTATATATGTATGTATGTATGGAAGTATGTATGTATGTATGGAAAGACTTCTTTATTATTGTAAAATTATTTTCAGAGCAATTTAAGAAAATTCGGAAAAACGAAAAGAAAATATTATGAGAGGCACAAACTTAGGGAGTGATGTGAGTCGAGCGAGTACTTCAGCAGCGCGAACATATATGTAAATATGTACACACATACATACATGCATATTTGTATGTATTTGCTTGGTGCGTGCAACCCCCGCCAATGCATAGTACTCTGCCGTCAGCTGCTCGCCACCAGAAGATACTCAACAGCAAAGCACCGCACAAAATGCGCGAGGGATTGTTGCAAGACGCGGGTGCGCCGCGCCGCTACTACGAATTATTAGGCTTTTATGATTAGTAAGTAAGTGCGCATAGCCTTCTTTTGCGCTTTGTATGCCTTGCCACTCAGTCAGTCAGTCAGCCAGTCAGCCAGTCAGCCAGTTAGTTAAGCAGCGACTTGCCGGTCTCTTTGAGGCAGCCTGAGTTGGTGCGAGTTGACTTCTTCATTTTCAGTCTCTGAGTGTACGTTGCGTTGAACGGTACTTTGGCGTCGTTGTTTTGGTAGAATTAACGGTTTCGTGTGGCTATTTTATTATAACCAAAATATATAATTGTTGTATGTATATATAAGTATGTTTCTACATAATGTCAGTGATGTATGGTATTGTATTTGTTTGGGGAAAAACGTGAAAAACATCATATTGACCGTGTGTGGTGTGGGCTTGTTTAGGGGAGTAGCCGATATTGATGATGAAGATGATCGCGACTAAACAAAGTGTATATTTGTGTGTGAAAAACAAAGCATTGATAGAAGCAAATATAGGAGTGTGCCATGAAAATAGATTTATTCATTCGTGGGGCGCTGGAAAAAATGTTTGACAAAATTTTTCTGCTTTCCATTATTTCTCTTTATTTTACTTATATTTTTTTAATTTTTTTTTTTTTATAAATTTTGTTTTTTTTATTCAATTATTTTCTTTAACAAACTAAGTTCTTGTTATTTGGTTAAATTTATTTTAATTCAAATTATTTAATTTAATTTATTTTATTTCATGCTTCTTTATTATATTTTATATTTTTCTAATATAATAATTTATATTATTTTATCTAATGTGAATTATTTTTTTTTAATTTCACTTTATGTTATTCTATAATATTTTTATTTGACTTTATTTTAATTGATTTTATTTATTTTTTATTTAGTTTTATTTTGTTCTATTTTTTTATTATTATATTTGCTTTTATTTATTTAAGTTTTTATTTATTTTAGCTTATTTTATTTTATTATAGTTTGTTATCTTTTAAATTATTTTGTTTTTGTTTTTTTAATATTTTTATATTTTTTAATTTTTAATTTTTTAATATGTTTCAATTTACTTTATCAATTTAAATTTTCTTCAATTTAATCACATTATTTTATTTTTCTAATTTTGATTTATTAATTATTTTTTTTTAATTTATATATATATTTAATTTAATTTTGTTATTTATTTATTTTATTTTATTGCGTTAATTATTTTTTCATATTATTATCATTGCTTTAATTGATTTATTTTTCCTTAATTATTTTAGTTTAATTCATTTCATTCTAGTTTGTTGTTGTAATGTAATAGAATTATTTTATTTTACTCAATTTTATATTTTTTTGCATACTATTAATTTTTTATCAATTTTATTTTATTTAAATTAATTTTTTTTATTATTTTTTAAATTAATTTTGTTATATTTAAGTGCATTTTAATTTATTCTATTTATTTTAATTCTTTTATTTTTGTTTTTTATTTTATTTTAATTTCTTATTAATTTTATTTTACTATTTAATTCTATTCTTTTCTATTTATTTTATTTTGCTTATGTAGTTTATTTTATTATAGTTTGTTATCTTTCAGATTATTTTGTTTTTTATTTTGTATTATTTAATATTTTCACCATTTTTAATTTTATTTTATCTAACTTAATTTTTTTCATTTATATTTAATTTATTTTTTAGTGTATTTTATTGCAATTTATTTTTCTAATTTTGAGTTATTATTTTTTTTTATTTTAAATAAATAAATAAAATAATTTCGTTTATTTATTTTATTTTATTTATATTAGTTTATTTATTTTTATTAATTATATTTTTTTTAACAATATTTTATTATTTTATTTGCCTTTATTTAGGTAAATTCCCTTATTTATTTTAGTTTATTTTACTTAATTTTATTTTATTTAATTTTTCTATTTTTTTAAAAACTTATTTTATTTTGTTTTATTTTAGTTTCTTTTATATTCCTTTATTTTAATTTTATTATTTTTTTTTTAATTTTTTCATGTTTTTATTTATTTTATATTAGTTTGTTAATTCATTTTACTAAATTATTTGCTTGCAAATATTTATTGTTTTTTTATCTTTTAATTGTGTTTAATTTTAGTTTATTTTATTTTATTCTATTTATTTTTTTCTCTTATTTATTTTAATTTTATATTTTATTACGATTTTAATTTCTAAATAATTTAAACGGAAACTTCAAACGCGTAAAGTGTCTTATTGAATATCTAATTTTCGAGCTCGTTGTACGGATGAAAAATTTTGGTGCGCCTAATATTTGAATAAAAATTCAAAAAAAAAAAAAAAAGTGAAAAAACAGAAAAGTGTGATGAAACAACAATTTTTTGTTTAAATAAATGTAGACATTTAAAAAAAAATAAAAATCTTTTATTTCAATTTAATTTGCCTAAACACTTTGCTATTGTGCTTCAAACAGTGGCCTCCATTGAGTAAAATAATGGGTTCACCGATGCGTGCATACGGGCATACATATATAGCCGAGTGCATTTATGGAAGTTCAATTCAATTGTGCACAGTGCGGCCAGTTATCAATAAAAGAAAAGAAACATCAAAAGGCGCCTAATTAATTTGTTACTCTGCTGCTGAATTGTGTGCCACAAATTGTGACCTCACTGTCGAGCCATAAAAAGCAACTTCTGTGGACATGAGTGTTCGAGTTCCTATGTTTTTATATTCGTGTGATCGCAGATAAAAATGTTAAATGATTCCAAGTAAAAATATTTGTTAAACGCATATGAGTTAATTTTATTAATAAAAAAAGAATCGATCCAACAGAAAGAGAAAATGTGAAAATCCAATGGGAAAATGTGTCTACTGAGTTTAAGAAAACTATGCAGAGCTATCTCGAAAGATCAAAACACATTAATCATTAAATATTCTCTTCAAGTTTCGATTTATTGGAAATAACATTTTTGTGTAGAAAATAATTGGTTTCTGTGTTTAAAATTGAGTTATAAATGAAGAAAAAATCAGTAAATTTCAAATGAAAGCCTAAGAAATATCAAAATTAAAAAAATTGTTTGGTGCTTAAAAATTTTGTTTTTCAAAAATAAGTACAATAGTTTTTTTTTATTAAAAATAAATAAGAGTTACATTTTTTGAAAATTATTAATGAAGAAAAAGTGCAAGCTGTTAAATTGAAAAAAGAAAAAAATTTAAAAAATGAGTATTCAGAACGTAGGGATGGTTAGGGGAATATGTACTATAGTTGACGGTACTGAAGTCATTACGAATGTGACAAATATCGAGTCGTCATTGACAGAGAAGTCTTCTTAGAAAACTCTTCGACAGAACTTGGTTTTGGTTATCTGATCACAGGAGTGTATTTTAACCTGATATTTCAGTCTCATCCTCATTAAAAACTCTTATACAGTACAGTATGCCCCTCAACTGTGTACTGGACTATTTTTTCGTAAAGATTGACATGTTTAAATGACTTTTCTGAAAATTTTCAGATGAACTCTAAATTGTAGGTTCATCAGTAGGTTGGCCGCTGAGAACACACCATTTAATTTGCTTTGAGTAAATATTCTTCTCCTGCTTGAATTCCTGGTCGATCTCTACGAAGGGCTGTTAAGCACATTCAGAGTCTCAATACCTGCTTAAACATGAAGAACTATTGTCAATTCTACTTTGTTTCCCAGCTGAAAGCTTTGTTTCCTTCCCTTTCTAACTGCTACGCCTTACATAGCCATTTTGATCCACTGTAGCACATGTTATGGGTGTAAGTTATTCGAAATGGAGTAGTCGCATCGGAAAGCGTTAAGGCATACCTTAATATACAGTTTTGAGACTCCCCTTAGCTCTTAGAACAGCTAGGTTCCTGTTTTTGGTCAAGCAACTGTCCTTCAGTACTTGTTTCGCCTAAAAGTGGATGGTTGGGTCATCTCTTTTCATCCTTTAACGCCTTCAAAGGCCTTTATTGTACAGAGTTCTTAGTGGCTTCTGTATTTTATGTACAAATATTTCTATCTTCACAATGCCCTTGCTAGGAATCCTGTAGATAAAAGCATGCTTTTTATGCCTCGTACTTCACTGATGCACTGAGACGCTCAGCCAGTTACTTTTCTCTGAACTCTACTCACTCTCGCGCTGCTGAACTTTATTGAGAGACGCTCTGTTACCCAAAGCTTCTTTTTCCTTTTTATAAACATATTTTTAACTAATCCATTCTGATTGTGATTTTCACTGTCCTCTGTCTTGTTCTCAAGCTGTGGGTTTTCACTGATTCACTTCGTTCTGTCGACACGTTCTTTCATCGCGTACTTGTCATAATGCATGCAGCACTTTGGAGCCAACCTACTTTTACCATATTTCAATTGATACTGAAACAAATACGAATATCTGTCGGATATCCTCCACTACAATATCTCTTATGAGGTTGACTCAACCAACAGTCTAAAATACGTCGAATCATGATCTTTCTTAAAGCCACTATACCATTTAGAAATCGCTAAAGAGTTCACTTTCACTACGATTGGACCACGGCAATCATACGAACTCTACTTCATCCTCTCCATTCCCTGGCAGGTTTAGCCGACTCCTTTGGCGATTTGTAATCACTAAAGCGATCTTAGACCGAGCTCTTCCTCCAATTTATGGTGTAGGTTTTGATGTTGTTTCGACATATCTGCAGCTTCTTCTAAACAGCATCTGAGCGGTTGATAAGTATTTATGAGAAACTTTTGATTTAATGTCAGAAATGCACTCGGAGGGTTCGGTGGGACGACCGTAATTAGGAAAAATATTTTTTTTTCAATTTTTTATTAAATCGACGTTTTTGTATTTGTATAAACATTGTTTGAGAATTACAAAGATGTATCCAAAATTTAGAAAATATTGAGAGCATGATTCTCTGACTCTCTTATTTTCTCTACTTACGTAGTATTTAGATGAGATATTTACTTTTTTTTAAGGAAATAATAGCGTTTTGAAGATGTGATTTCTTAAAATTTAACCTTTCTCCAATGCCTTATGGCAAATCGATAAATTCAAAGATTTCCGATAAAAATACAATTACTCGGAGCACATGTATCGCACCCATATTTCAATTATTCTTCTACTATATTTATGTATTTTAAAATTGGATATCTCTCATAGACCCAAAGAAATAGCAGGCAAGAAGACGAGGTATTAAATATTAATCAATGTCTCCGATGGTAGGGACGATTGCTACGGCGGCTGCTTGCCAGTTGACACTACTTAAACAGTTGGTGCTGCAGCTACCAGCAGCAACAACGCCAACAACAACAATTTATAGGTGAACTAAGCAGAATGTATTTACG